TGTGTGTGTGTGTGTGTGTTTGTGTGTGTGTGTGTGTCTGTTTTCCTGTGTGTGTGTGTGTGTGTGTGTTTCTGAGTGTGTCTGTGTCTGCGCGTGCATGTGTGTGTGTGTTTCTGAGTGTGTGTGTGTGTCTGTGTGTGAGTGTGTGTCTGTCTGTGTCTGTTTCTGAGTGTGTGTGTGTGTCTGTGTGTGAGTGTGTGTCTGTCTGTTTCTGAGTGTGTGTGTGTGTGTGTGTGTGTGTGTGTGTGTGGCTGTCTGTTTCTGTGTCTGTGTGTTTCTGAGTGTGTCTGTGTGTCCGCGCGTGTGTGCGCGCGTGTATGTGTGTGTGCGTGTGTGTGTGTGTGTGTCCGGCCGTATTTCAGCAGTAATATTCCTCTGATGCGAGTGGTGCAATCAATCAAACACAGCAAGAGAAGAAACAGTGGAGTGCTGAAGAAAGGCTGGTTAATCCATCATACCAACACTGACATGCTGGTGAGACACTCTTATTCATATGTAGAAGTATTATTATGTATTTTTATTTACATATTATATATATTTTGTCATTTTTATTTATATAGACTACAGGTAAAATGGTAGGGGGTTGGTAAAAAATGTTTTGTAATGTTTTAGTGTCAATAAGATACTATTATAGTTTTTATTAATAGTTTTGATTTGTTTTTATTTTGACTGTTTTTCATTTTCATTTTTGTTTAAGTTTTTTGTCATCATTGTCATAATTTTTATTTATTATTATTATTATTTTAATATGTCTATATATGTACTTGATTTGTTTTTATTTTTATTTTGACAGTTTTTTTGTCATCTTTATTATTATTATTATTTTAATATGTCTATATATGTTTTAGTACAATTTAGTTTTTTGTTCCCGTTAACTCTAATAACCCTACTCACAGAGGCTTTATTAATTTGGTCAAAAGTACAGTAAAATATTCTGATATATTATTATCATTTAAATTAACTGTTTACTGTTTGAATATATTGTAAAATATAATTTATTTCTGTGATCAAAGCTGAATTTTCAGCATCATTACTCCAGTCTTCAGTGTCACATGATCTTCAGATTTTTCTGTTTAATTTTTTAAGGATTCTTTGAATTGAAAGTTCAGAAGTAAATCATCTGTTTGAAATAGAAATATTTTGTAACATTAAAATAAACAATTTTTTTTAATTTTTTTTATATTATGTTTTTTTTTTTCTCTTTGCAGAGAAAACGTCACTACTGGGTATTAAATGGGAAAAGTATCACCCTGTATCCGAATGAAATCAGCATTAAGTACTACAAGGTTTGCAAGTGTTTAGAATGCATCGTGTCATCTTTACCACTTCATAATGCAAAATACAGCAACGCTTGACACATGGTTCATCTTCGGGCTTTCATGAAGTTATTAATATAGTTGCGTGTGCTTCATTTCAGGAGATTTCTCTCTCAGAGGTGCTGCAGGTTCGAGGGCCGGCTCAGCTCGCTATTCCAGTGTTGCCAGGCAACAGCGCACACTCGTTCGAGCTGGTGACGGGATCTCTGGTGTACTGTGTGTTTGCGGATCAGGACGGCCCGTCATGGGAGTCGGCTCTCGATCAGGCCCTCAGACCGGTGCAGGGCACTGTATGCCACACGACAAACAACACCGGTTAGAGCAACAAGACGTGAATTATTCATGAGCCTCTGATTCCACACAATATAATATACTCTAAGTTCAACCAAAAATGAAAATTTACTCACACTCAGGCCGTCCAAGATGTGAGTTTGTTTCTTCATCAGATTTGGAGAAATGTAGCATTGCATCACTTGTTCATTAA